AAAAGCGGCTGATCAAACAAAAAAAAACCTACCAAACCACACCAAAAATCAAGAAAATGTGTTCAGTAATGGTTAATCCAATATAATATAAAAGTAACTAAAAGTTGTACCCAGAAATAACTAGAAATACAGTCTGTGGGTAATCAAATTTTATTGAAATGGTCATAGATATATAATATTTAGAAATTAAATAAATAACATATATAATTAATTAATTCATTTTTTTGTTTGTACTACTGTTGAACATTAGCAGACTGTCTTATGATCGAGTCTATTATTCGTTAGTTTATATTTCCATTATGTCTCATTAAAACTGCAAGTAGGAAATTTTTTTGTTACAGACAAATCTTGTAAAGTTGCTACATTTGACTAAAAGAGGCTAAAGCGGCAATAGTGTGTAGAGGCGGCCTTATGTGAAATGCAATTAGCTCTAATGGCATATTAATGTCAAGAGCGAGAAGAGACACCATACTTTTTAATTTCTAAATGACTAAGCTAAGACGTTTCGTTTTAACGGCCCGATTTGCATATTTATTTAAATATAAAAACTTGACGGATATTCCTGTTTACATATTTTTATGTGAAACAAATTTAATAGAATTAATTTCATTGTGTTTAGTTACATGTCTTAAATTTTTTATTTTTGTTCATGTTTATAATTAAACATTCACATAAGTGGATACATTATTTAACTTTTTGCATTTCAAGAGATGTTTATTTATTTATTTATTTACTCTTTATTGTACCACTTATTAAAGAATAAATGAAAACAGTATATAGGTACATGTATATTACATATACGAGGTACAAGTACAAGGCGGTCTTATCGCTAAAGAAAACTTTTCTACACGGCCTTTGGGTAGAGGAAAAAAAAAAGTATGTTGCAGTATACGAGGTCTGTCCGGAAAGTTCGTATAAAAGTGTTCTGGAATGCGAGAAAGAGGAGTGGGGAGGCCAGGTAAGCGCAGGACCCCTTCCTTATGTCCCTAACAATGCTTCAGTTCTGGTCTGACCGCCGTGCGGTGCGAACTGGCTTGTCACGCCATCTGTGAAGTTACCTCTTAACGAAACCCCGTCGGCATGGAGCCCGCTTCCGTTGAAGAGCAGCGCGTCGTAATCAAGTTTCTCTCGAAACTCGGCAAGAATGGCCGTGAAATTTTTGCCGATCTCAGAACAGTTTATGGGGATGATGCTGTGAAGGAACCAACCGTCCACAAGTGGCTAAAAAGATTCAGAGAGGGCCGAGAAAGCGTTCAAGATGACCCACGTTCAGGACGTCCTTCCACTTCACATTCCGACGAATTCGTCCCTCCAGGCCAGACAGTTGATGGAAAATTCTACGTCGATGTGCTCAGACGCCTCAAAGCTCGTGTGGCACGAGTTCGTCCAGAATTGGCGCGAGAGGGGCGTTGGATTCTTCACCACGACAATGCCCCTGCCCACACCTCTCTTGTTGTCCGTGAGTTTTTGAGTAAAAATTCCATTACGGTGACCGAACACCCCCCCCTATTCGCCGGATTTGGCCCCGTGTGACTTCTTCTTGTTCCCAAAAACCAAATTGGTACTTCGGGGGCGGCATTTGGGGGACATAAATGAGATAAAAAAAGCTACGACGGGGCAGCTGAGAAACCTACAACCAGAGGACTTTCAAGGAGCCTTCTCACAGTGGAAACGGCGTTGGCACAAGTGCATTATGTCACAGGGGGAGTACTTTGAAGGGGATAAAATTGATTTACCTGAATAATTGTAAAATAAAATTTTTAAAAAACTTTTATACGTACTTTCCGGACAAACCTCGTATGTGGTAATGTAGGTCCTGGCATGGAATAGGCCACCCCTTTCTTTCCCGTGAGTGTCGTAAGGGGCGAGTAAGGGAACTTATTATGGAGGGATGGGAAACAGTGTCCCTCTTAAACAACCAAAAGCCAAACTGCGGTTGCCAACTCGCCTGCTAAGCGTGGCGACTACAGGCAAACCCCCACTTATGGGAAAGGCTATGTTTAGCAGTGGATAGTTAACGGTTGATACCACAATAATAATGTAGTATGGGGTCTAAATATGATCTCAATATGTTGGAATTAAATAAGTAAAAAAAGCAGTAACATAAAACCAAACAAAATATGGAATATTTTAAAAAAAATTATTGAATTTATAAGCGTCGTGCGGTTACATCATTTGATGTTTAAAAATTAGCTCATACACGCATTAATTTCAGAAGTAGGGGAACTAATGAAACAGACTACTTCTAGATGTGGTATCATAATATGTCATTTTGCTGCAGTTGTTTTTGCGTGATGCTGGAAGAAATTATTGATGACTAATTTTGTCTGCCTGTCTGTGTGAGACAGACATACAACATTTCTAAAAATCACTACTTTGTCTTCTATTATTTCTATTTTTTTTTAATCTTCTATGTACAGGCAGAAGGAAGGAGGGAAAGGGGGAGACTAAGACATAGTTACATCAGGAAAATGTTGGTGTCGTGTCGTATCAGAGGTGAAGGGACTCGCTGAAAATCGTAAAACTCCGCTGACAAGAGTGCAACTCTTAAATAGAAATGTAAAGAATGTACAGATATCGTTCAGTTACAATCTTAATATATAAATATGAATCGCTGAATGTGTTGTTATCCGTAAATCCCGAGAACAGCTGAACCGATTGCTAATTCTTTTTACAGAATATTCTTTGAAGCACGAGGATGGTTCCTATGGACGGATTTTTTTTTTAAAATTGCCTGAAAATATCTAAAAACAACACTTTTCTAAACTCCCATACAAACGATTTGTAATTATATTTAAAAGTCAATTTGAAATTTAATACCGTACTGTAAAGTTCAAACGTTAGTGGTGAGGTTCCAGGAAGGCAAAACAATTGAGTGACGTTAGTACCCGGCGTCCCGAATAGCAGAATAAGTATTAAAAATACTAAAAAATTAAAGAATCGACAGATTTTTTTTTAAATGGGTGATAATGGAATGGTAACCCCACCCGCGCTATCGGTATACACCGGCGGGGCACCAGTGAGGGATGATAGGTGAGGATGAAGCAGGTCAGTTAGCCCAATGTGACGAATTCAACAAGAATTGTTCACGATGGTTTCCAGGGGAACCACGTGGAGGTCGACCTGCTAGCAATGTCTAACTGAATTGCTACCAATTCCTTTCCCCCAGAATCGACTGCTAGGCGGTACGAAGTTCGCTGGGTCAGCTAGTATTATTATTTAATAAGATAACCGTAGAATTTGGGGGAGGAGGCGAGAGATAATGTTAATAATGGTGACTAAGGGCCCCATTGCTAGCAATATACTCAACCAAGTCGACCTCCTCGTGGTCCTCTCTGGAAATCATCGTGTTGAATTCCAAGTGTATTCATCACGATGGGCTAACTGACATGTCTTTTCATCCTCACCTATCAACACTCACTGGTGCTCCGCCAGTGTATACCGATAGCGCAGGCGGGGATACCATTCCGTCATTACCCATTTAAAAAAAATCGTAGAATTTTTTTTCTTGGATACAACATACAAAAGGTACTTGATTACACGTAAAACTATTCTTTTTTTTGTAAAGGTCACCTACCAGTAGGTATTAGCGGCAACATACACATGCTTTTTTTATCCATTTCCAATGGCGTAACGCCTTTCGAATGAGTAAGCATAAATGAAATATATTTCATTCAACTTCTTAACAAATGTTATAAATGTAAAAGTGAATTTCGTTTGTTACCTTTTAGCGCTTTAACCAATCACTATATGGGATGGAGAGGGATACAGGCTACTTTTCATCTCGGGCAGTTAGGTAAATAGTACCTACATACCAGCTTCTTCATTGACGAAGTTTTTTTTTTTGGTGGATGAAAATGGAATGGTAACCCCACCTGTGATAACGGGATACACTGGCGGAGCACCAGTGAAGGGTGATCGATGAGAATGAAAACAGGCCAGTTAGCCCATCATGATGAATTCATCAGGAATTAACCATGAGTTTCCAGGGAGAACCGCGAGGAGTTCGACCTGGTTGGGTATATTGCTAGCAATGGGATTTTTAGTCTCCATTACTAACAATCCCTTTCCTCCCTCATTGACGAAGTTGTATAAAGATTTATGTTGGGATTGCGTTATTTTTTTGGCAGAAATTTTGTATTAAAAACATAACTGCACCTCTAGCGGATTTTTTTGGAAACTGAGATTTCCATAAAAAGTTATTGATATATGTATATAAAAGGAAACGTAAATATAATTATGTAAATCGTGCAAATGGGCTTTTAAAGTTATTACACAACTCAAAATATTTTAGTTGCACATAAAATTAAGCGTAAACGATAAATTCAAGCAGTTATAAGATCGGTTAAAAGTAGGTTACTCAGTTACTGTTTATTTTTGTTATTTTCAGCGACTACCAAAAAGAAACAGGTTCTCAGTTAGTCCGTATTTTTTTTTAAATTATGTTATTTTTATCTTCGTCTTTTTCTTGTTAATTCTATGGCTTCACCCGCGTGAACCAGTGAGTAAATAAATAATAGTTAAAACATACTGTATCAACTAACTATAAAGTATATGTCCACGCGGTTCCCCCTGGAAACCATCGTGGTTATTTCTAGTGGAATTCGTCACGATGACCTAACGTACCTGCTTTCATCGTCACCTATCATCCCTCACTGGTAGCCCGCCAGTGTATACCGATAGCATAGGCGGGGTTACCATTCCATTATCACCCATTAAAAAAAAAAAAACTATAAAGTATAAACTAAATTCATTTAACACCATTGAAAACAATATTTAATTAAATTTTTCATTATTTTGAATTGGTATATCCAATTTAAAATAAAAATAAAATCCCTAAAAAACAAAAAAAACAGTAAAAAAAAAGTAAAACATTGCCGTCTACTCCTGTTGTGGTCGGGCTGCACCTAAGAGTTTAAGGTTTAAAAAAGGCGCCGCAGGATCAGTAAACACAATTCATAGTAGTTTGAAAAATAGTGATAAAACTGTAAGGCACTGACCTGAGAGTGTTGTAATACGAACTCGGCGATGAGCGCGTGCGCGTGGTGCGCGAGCGGCACGTGCAGCGACAGCCCGGCCAGCTGCAGCGCGTGCGGCGCCGGCGACGACGCGCGCAGCCCGCCCAGCGGCAGCGACCGCCGCACCGCCAGCCCGCCCGGACCTAGCCGCGCACGTAACCATGTCGTTAATGGTCATAATATTATTTTTTATTAATAGCTCCACATATAATGGTACAATAAATGCCTGCAGAAGCAACATTCGGTGCACAATCTATGTAACAAGATCAACCCGTGAGTTAGGGTTTTTTTTAATGAATGATAATGGAATGGTACCACCGCCTGCGTTAACGGTATACGCTGGGGCACCAGTGAGGGATAATAGGTGAGAATGAAAAGGCAGGTTAGTTAGCCCATCGTGATGAACACACCTGGAATTGAGCATAATGGTTTCCATGGGGTACCACGTGGAGGTCGACCTGATAGCGTATATTGCTAGCAATAGGACCGGAAGTCCGCATTACTAACAACCCCTACACCCCTCCCGTGAGTTAGGTGTACCTAACTTGACGTTTGAGAGGGGGGATAGATGATGCGGACTACCAGTCCCATTGTTAGCAATAATACCCTGCCAGGTGGTTCTTCACGTGGGGTATTACGTGGAGATCGACCTGACAGGACAACGGATTCCAGGAGTGATCAAGGGATCTATGCGCTGAATTTCAGGTCTATTCATCACGATAGGCTAATTGACTCGCCTTTTAATTCACTTTTTATCCCTTACTAATGCCAGTTGCTAAAGTTGCCAAACTTAGCTGCACGTGGTCGAATTATATATATTTTAAATTGATGAATGAATATTCTTTAATTTTTTTTTATTAATTACTTAATAACTATCCAAAGCTTTAGCCTAGTAACTTATACAATTTACCTCCCTGTATTCATTAAAATATAACAACATGCATTTGTGGCATGCATAATAAGTAATTGTATATTGTAAAAAAACAAATTTTAAAAAAACTTAAAAAGTATTTTTAAACAGTTTAATTAAAACGCCTGGTTGAATTTTGAAACCTTAGTTTATAGCCTAGTGAATATATTAATATCGCACGTATCATGTCCACAGATTGCCGTTAGGTAGCGTGTGTAATGTAACAATATCGTAACGTAGTGCTCGTACCTTTTACGCCTATAGTGACGGCGGCGTGCGAGACAGCGAGTACAGCGTTCTCGCCGGGCGGTAGCCTGGCGGTGAACAGCCTCGCGAAGTAGAAGGGCCACGCGCGTGCCATGTCCACGGCCTGCCGCTTGGCGGCGGCGCGCGGGGGGCCGGCCGGCTGCGCCGCCAGCCACGCGGCGCCCGCGCGTCGTTCCGCCGCGCCAAGCCGCAGAGACGGCGCCGTCGAGTTTATATCGTGCACTATCTGCCGTACCGGACGAAAGTATCTTGTCAATCGACTTCAAAACAAGAATGCGTCTCTCGATTCGGTTGTATTTTTCATGTTCTCAGAAGTCCGTCATTTACAAGTATAAAATGGATTTGGAAACATATTTTTTCATCTAAAAGAATATATACTTTTAGACTGGTCCAATAGAAATTTTATTAAAATCGATTCAGTAGTTTAGTTCTTAAATCAAAATAACTGGTTTTGGAAACAGATTTAACGTTTTATTCTCTTTTTATTCCATTCTTCTTTTAAGAGTCTCTTTTGGTTGGAATAATTTACTCGTGAAATTTTATAATAAATACACAAAATAAAAAAAAAAACTTTGTTACTAGGATCGAATCTGTCTTTAAAAATGTTATTTAATTATATAAATTATGATGAAAAATGAGGGAAGTTAAAAAAAATAGAAAGCGGGAGAAAATAAAGGATAATGTACTAACAACTATATAATTTGAACTTACCTGAGCATAAAGTAAGTCTAGTATGGCAGGATCGTTGTAGGTCTCGAGTGGGGTGAAGACCTCCTTGCGCACGCGCAGTTTCCACGGCACGCGGCCGTATGTGAGGAACGTGCGCTCCGAAGGTAGCAGTGCCGCTGGCGCCGGCACGTCGCCTGTCCGACAACATCGTACTTATTCAAAGCATCTCTCAAGATTTTAATGAAATTCTAGTTCTAAATATGAATTAGTATAAAAGTGCTAAACTTTAATCATGATCGATCCATGTACTTATTTCGATTTACGTGACTTTATTTCGAGAAACCAAAACTGCTCTTTACCATTTCTAAATAAAGTTAACTGGTATTTATTTTCATTAGTGATTCTAATTTTCGAATCTATTTTAGCCAGTAAGTATTTGAGTTGTGACACCTAAATGTAAGTCGAGCAAATTAAACAAAAGAAATGAAAACAACACTTAATCAAAATATACTTTTAGCTTAATTCATTGTTTTCATAATTTAGTTTTTCATCTCGACTGTACAGAAAAATCATTGTAAATGAAATTATTAATTTAAACATTTACCAATTTGGTTAAAGTTTCATAGAAAATATGATAAAAAAATTATACTTACGTTCGAGGTGTTCAGTTTTATCGGTCACGTGAGTAGACACCGAGTGTCTTCTTTCCGCTTCCATCTTTCTGTCCCTCTCTTTTTGCACCATATGAGTTTTGAACGTGGCTCGGCTGGTTGTCTTCATATCATTGTTATCAGGCGGGAAAATAATATCCGATCGTGGGCTATCTCTAGCTCGCCCCACTAGCATGTCACGTGAGTTCTTCCTCCCATCGAAACGCTCAAAATCATCGAAGAATGGCGACCGCTTACGATCGAATGAGTCATCGACGCCGTTTTCATCCCTTCGCCTCTCAGCTCGAGCTGGATGAATTTCGTAGATCTCGGACGCTTCTCTCCCGGAGAAGTTGTCGCGGTCGCGTCGACTGGAATCGACGCCAGATTCAGAGTCCCATTCGTCGCGGCCTTGTTTGTCACCATTGTAGCTCCTAATCTCAGACTCGTCTCCCCAATCGTCTCTTACGCGGGAGTTCCTTTCGCGGCGGTCCGCTGTTAAGAAACGAGTAGCCAAGTCGTCACGAGGTGAATCCGGTTCGTCCTTTCTTCGGGAGTTCCAATTAGCTAGAAAGGCGTGACGATCGTCCGCCTCCCGGTTTTGGTGTACTCCAAAGGTATCTCTATCTCGGCGTAATTGAGCAAACGTAGATGACGAGTCTGGAGCCGGAGGTGGAGGTGCTGGCCGGTCAGGCGGCGTGGGGGGAGATTTCGGTGGTGGTGGTGCAGGACCCGGTGGTGCTGGCGGGAGTGGAGGTGGAGGCGCGTCCCACCTCATGCCACCTCCTAGTTGACGTTCCAACATCAGCTTTCTTGTGTCTTCCAACTTATTTACCGTGCGAGGTGTTTCCGCCGCAGAAGAAGAACTGCGCACCGAATGATTGGCCGTTACTCGCTCCAGTCGTTGTCTCATTTCGGAGCTCAGCTTTAGCTTCCCAACACTACCTGGTGAAGGACGTTGCGCTCCAATCTCAAAGCTTCTTCTGGCTGTTCGTTGATTAGGTGGTTCCCTGCTGGGTGATACTGGGCCGTCTACTTCAAATTCCTCCCATTCTATACCCGGTGAAGCCTCAGACCGGGACCTGCCCCTAGGCGCTTCGTGTTCTACACCATTTGTTTGAGCTTGAGGAGTGTGTCTTCTTTGTATCTGGCGCATCTTAAATTTAGTAAAATCTTGTGTTTGTTCCTGCCCGGTAGCGTCTTTAGGAGGAGGCCATCGCCATTTACCTATACGAACTGTTTTCGCTCTACCATAGGGATCCATAAATGGTCGTACTTCAGATGGATCTGTAGCATGTAGTGGTGGAGGCATCGGAGGAGGAGGCGGGGGAGGAGCTCCGGCTGAGGAGCTTTCGTTAGACTCACGTCTAGTTTTTACTGCTATTCTTGGCGGTGAATGAACCTGAGCGTGTACCACTGTCGATGGCCTAACTGGTGAGATTGTTTCCGTTTCAGAAGATTCTACAACCTGACCAGCTAGAAGAGTTTGTAATGCCTGATTTTGAGCTAGGAGCTGTTGTTGTATTTGAAGATTTTGTGCCATCGCGCTTTGTAGAAACGCTCTTTGAAGGTTTTGGTGATATGCATTTATATCAACTGTTCCAGGTGGTGGTAAATGAAGACCTAACGCCGCTGCTAAAGCTTCGGGTGTAGCTGGCATAGTTGGTGGTAAAGATAAACCGCCATAACTCAAAGCTGATGTGTTAGCAGACGCAGCTCTTGGAGTGGCTCCCCCGCCTTTGATTGCTCCCGAAAGTCCTTCCCCATCAGTTAGTCTCTTCAGACTATCGTTCATAAAAATGGGATCAAAAAGATTGGTTATGTAATCGTCTACTGAACCGACACTCGATTCCTTTCTGCTAGAACCCTTATCCCTTTCCTCTTTACCACCTCCTTTAATTAAATGTTGTAACTCTTTAGCATTGTTCAATACTTTCATTTGATCTTTGTAATCACAATTAAGGATATTATCGATAAAATCGGCGTAGGTTTTTCCTCCCTTAATGCTGGCAGCAAGTGAACGAGCGTCTGAAAGTTCGTCGATATTAGGGTCAAGGACTGGAGAAAACAGATCGTCCAGGAACTGGTCGACGTCGGAAGCTTGGCTCGGAACTCTGACTCGACGCACATGTGATGCTAAGCTTGGAGCTTCAGAAGTATCAGACATTGCTGAAGATCTACGAATAAAAAAGAAAACATGAGTAAGAGAAAATATTAGTCATTTTAGAATTATTAGTATTGCAAGCGTCCATAAGCTACAGGGACCATTTACAATCAGGCGGGCTGTATGCTTGTTTGCCACCTTTATGGCAAAAAAAAAAAATAAACTTACCGTACACCTCCGAATTCAGAACTTTTTTCGATATAAGCACGGCTGGATTGCGAGCCAGCAGGCGCGCGTTTTCCCGCATATTGCGACTTTATATATCGCGACGGCAGCACTCGCGATCCAGTGCCGTATTCTATCTCCATCGCTCCTTTACTACTGGCCACACTCGGAGCGCCTCCTAATCTCTCCACCGAGTGATATCGATCGTTGAGTCGTGACTGCGATAATCCCAAGTCAGCGAGCTTCGTCGGCTGTGGTACGGGGTTGTCTCCCAACAGATTATCCAACGATCTACTGCGGACTTTATCGTTGCTCTGTTCGAAGTAACGTTCATTAAGCGCCGACTCTCTCGAGAGAATGTCGTGGGATATCTTTCTAGAATAATCGTTTTGTTTCGACATCGCGTGCGACTCTTCCCGCTCGATTTTCCAGTTGTATTCGGAGAGGCCCTCGTCGATGGAATCTTGGAGTAGTCGTGGGATACTTGGTGACCGAGATTTTGGTGGTTCCGGTGGTGGGACCTAGACAAGTATCATGTGGTATAATTTTCAATACTTATTGAAATTGTTCTATGTAGATATTCGATTTAAAAAAGGTTTTGATATAAATTCTTATAAAATATTATAATATATATAACTTAATTATACGTAATCTTCTTGTAATATATTTATGTTTAACAATTAATGTAAATCTTTTACACGCTAGCAATGCGGACATAGTAATACCTGGGGTCTAGCCGAACGATCTGCTTCGATGGAAGTAGCGCGGGGCGGGGGCGCGGGTGGAGCAAGGCGCGATGCTGATGCACGAAGCGGTTCGCCACGGGAGCTGGGCATTGCCGCCCATGCTTCTATTTCGCCTACCGCATCCAGCGCGTACTCACAACCCGCCCATTCTATTACAAAAACATTTATTTAATAATATGGAAATATGGACCTTATTTCTATAAGAGGTACAATCTTAATAAATGAATATAAATTTATTACTTTTCTTTTACCCTTTTATTCAGTGCAGCAATTCGTGTAACTGCGTGTATAAAATTGCATATTTTTAATGAGAAGAAGTGCATATATTTAAGCGTGTTCATATCAATATTCTTGCAACCAGGTTATTATATGTATGAATGTAATTAGAATAGAATAGAATGCAGTTTAGAATGATGCAGATTTGTAAATTTTTTGAAGAGAGTTGACTTCAAAATTTAATATTTTTTTGACGAGGTCAATCAAAAGTGATCAAGGGTATCGCAGTGTCGTGTTGTACGTACCGGTGAGTTGTCCGTTGTGCTCCATAGTGAGTGTCCATCCAGTAGCGCGGCGCGTGACGCCGGCAGCTGCGAGCGCAGCCGCCGCCGCCCGCTCACACGTTGTCCAAGACTCCACGCACACGTGCTGTACGCTCTCTGCGCATACGCATACAATCTAATATTATAACATTGAAAATATTTGTGTGTCTCTTCTTATCACAGTAAAATACTTGAATAAATGTTGGTCAAATTTATTTTTTTATGCAACTTAGAATGGTAAATAAGCTGACGGCCCACCTAATGGAAAGTGGTAACCGTCGCCTATAGACATGAGCAGTACCATGGACATAACAGAGTATATTGTTTCGCTCATGATACCCCCCATGAGTTGGGGGGAAAGGGATTGTTAGTAATGGGGTCTAACAGTCCCATTGCCATCGTGGCTAATTATTGTTGTATTTGTTACGATGGGCTAACTGATCTGCTTCATCCTCATCTGTCATCTCTCACTGGTGCCCCGCCAGTGTATATCGATAGCGCAGACGGTGCTACCATTCCATTATCATCCATAAAAAAGTACCCTCGACGCGTTGCCGACTCAGGTGTTATTCCTCTGTAGCCTGTAAATTAATTGGTATGGTGATATTACCTCTCATTTTAGTACCATTTTCCTGTGTTCTCTCTTCGTTTTCTTTCGTCATTTTTTTCTGTTGTAAGTATGTGTAAGTTATGTATATATTTAATTGTGTATATATTATATGTGTATGTGTATGTATGTATATATGTTTGTATATGATAATATTTATATAACAGTGCGCCACCTACCCTTTGTCTTTTTCTCAATATCCTCTACCCAAAGGTTGTCTGGAAGAGATTGCTTAGCAATAAGGCCGCCTTTTGTATCACTTCTCATTAATATTTACTGTATTTGTTATTTCTCTTTTCACTTGATGCAATAAAGTGTAAAATAAATAAATAAATAATTTTGAAGCGTATCGATAGCTGAATATAGTGTAGTGTAGGTACCGTCGAGTGTAAAATAAATAAATAAATATTTTGAAGCGTATCGCTAGCTGAATATAGTGTAGTGTAGGTACCGTCGAGTGTAAAATAAATAAATAAATAATTTGGAAGCGTATCGCTAGCTGAATATAGTGTAGTGCAGGTACCGTCGGGCAGGGTGAGCGGCAAGGCCGGGCGCGCGTCGGCGCGGGCGGCGCGCCACTCGAGCAGCGTGGGCGGCGCGCGGCGGGCGGCGGCGGCGGCGGCGGCGTGCGCCCGCGCCGCGCCCGCGCCCGCGCCCGCGCCCGCGCCGCACACGAGCCGCGCCAGCGCCGCGCGCCACCGCGCCGGCGCACGCTCCGATATCAGCCGCACCAGGTACCTGCGCCCGCCCACATACTACACTCGTGACGTACGTATCCATTTTCGGTGCGCATTTAGTACGAGTACGTATAAAAGCGTCTCCTAAAAATCCTTAGCGCCAATTTAACGCACTAAATTTACTTGAAAACTATTCGATCTGGACGCCTGAGTACGAATGAAAGCGCCTGGTAAAAAAAAAAATTTCGCGCCAATTTATCGTGACCGTGAACCAGTTTAACGCAAGTACATTTAATACTTATTTTTGTGTCTTTCAAGTCTGAAGATAATCTATTTATCCTATTTAAGAGCTGCACTCTTGTCGGTGGAGCTCTTACTAGCTAGCTAGCAAGTGCTAGCTAGCGTCTTGCTCTGTAGCAAGTGCGCTACGATTTTTAGCGAGTCTCTTCCCCCATTTAAGAAGAACCCACAGTAGGGCTATAAATGAATACACAAGCAGGACATTTTAAAAGCAACAAAGTAGTACATCATAAACTGTAGATGCGAGTCGTGTCTCATCGCCTACTTCAGGAGTGGCCAACGTAACTATTAGTCCAGTCGATCGTGGCAAGGCAAATAATATAATATTTTGCTATAATCCAGCGGAAGATGCTCAGACGCAATAATCTCGCTAATATAAATAAGTAGTTAGTAAGAACAATTTTCAGTTTTACATTTTCCCTCTTCAATAAAATAAAGAATAATACAATACTACATAATTGTGTACTATGTTTTTTCATTTGAGATTTCAAGAAGTATGTAATTGGTAGAACGTACAGAGTTTCGTCAGTAAACAGTAGATCTTGGGTCTAGTCAAGTTGGCCACCCCTGATCTAGTTACACATCTACATTTATAGACTTCTCCTTGTCGTACTCTAGAGGACGAGAGACTAATGATTAAGTTTCGTTTGAAAAAATGACGTGCCAGTCGAACCAATTACAGCAGTGGATAGATTACTAACTTGTGCAGCGGCGGTCCGGGCTGGAAGGCGGCGAGGCAGTGCGCCATGAGGTGCCAGACGCGGTCGCTGTCGGGCGAGGCCTGGTTGCACAGCTGCACCAGGATCTCGTCGCGGAGCCCGCGCGACTGCAGCCCGCGAGACGCTATGTAGTCCGCCAGGATCTGCGCCAACCAGATCATCGGTTAGTATGAAAATTAATCCCTCCCTTCTTATAATTTTAATTTTTATAATTCTTTTACATGCACCAGAGAGAGATTTTGTACAAAAATCGTTTGCGTGGGCATCTCTGTCCCATTCGTGTTTCTAACGTGAAGCAGTTAAGTTTGCATGGCTGTGTTTCGGTTTGAAGAGTGGGATATGACAGTGAATTTACAGGGTACAGAGGAATAACACCTGAGTCCTCAGGTATGGCAACGCATGGGGAGTATCATGGGCGAAACGTATACTCTGTTATGTCCATGGTACTATTCATGTCGCCGTTAACTTGTTTGCTATTATAAGTTGAATAAAGAAAAATGTTAAGCAATATTTTTACCAATTCTAAACCGATTCTAATGAATGAACGTAAACTAATGTTCATTAAAGATAGATATATGTTAAAAGAGGGAGTGGTTGGAAACCAGCGTTGTGCAGCTGGTCACATTGCACTAGGACACTCACAGCATCAGCTGAGCCTGTTCCTTTTACCTAATATGGGACACTTCTTACCATATTAAGCGTACAATTTTCAATATACCTTTTGTCTAGTTTCATCGCCAGCCGCAGACTCGTCGCACCATCTCAAAATCAACTTGAATGTTGCCACAGCATCGTTAAAATCTTGATCCCTAATAAAGAGCAAAATACACATCGCATTATTTGGAGGACTAGGAATATATGTGATTTCTTTTATTTCTTAAAAGTTCATCTGATCTCAGTTAATATTTTTTTATTTATTACATTTTACCTATTAACAACACCATGGGATTTTTCACAAAGGAAGTTTTTCAGGATCGACAATTATTATGTTTATTATTATATCAGTGCTTAACTATACACTGGTAAACATAGATCTTCTCCATAAGGTAGAGTTTCTTAAACTTTTTTTAGTCACGGAGTACTTACACAACTTAAACAATGCTACGGATTCCTGTCAAAAACATCTCAGTTAGATCCTAAAATTCAGAAAAAGAAAAATAGCTTTTTTATATTAAAAAAAAAATTGTAGTTTAAATATTTTTACAGTTAACTGACCTACTGCAGATCCTTGCTATGGACCTCTTAGAGGTCCGTAAACCCCAATTTAAGAAACCCTACTATGAAGGGAGTTTTGTCAGTAGTTGCCATGCTTAAAACATCACCAACATTTAACACCAGGCGAGCGGTACGTTCGTTTATAATCACAGTGGTATAATACTCCACAGCGCAACGGTAGGGACATTGTTTTGCGTCATCAAGTCCCGGATTCTATTCCCGGTCGGGCCAATTTACGAAACGATCTTTTTTAAATTGACTCAAATCTGGATACTTTGGGTTGTATGCTCAGAGCTTGAGGATCAGGTGAATGTGTGACACTAATAATTATATAAGAAAGAGGTTCCACATTATACCTGACAGCAGCCTTAGACAGGAAAGGTCTAGTGATGGGATGCTTCCTGGGGCTGAGTTGACCACCGTCTGCGAAGTACACCGAGCTGAACTTGGAGAACGCGAATTGTTGTAGATCTCGGGGTAACTGTACGCGTTCGTCTTCTGCGTACACGTCGCCCGATACCTGTATTACAAAGTAACCATTAAGGGTCAACACTGCTTTAATATTGGCGTAACTGGAAAATAAATCTATGTTACCATTTAGAAGTATCAGCACAGTACAATAAATTAATATTCATAATGTTGTTTATTTTCAACAATTTATTGCCAACTGCTGAATATAGTCCCCTGTAAACTACTGTAAGGAATGGTTCGGAGCTACTCTACATCAACTTAATACCTGTAACACGTCATTTGCATTTGACACTATATTATTGTCAGTCAATAACTTTTATTCGTCAGCAGATTCTTAGAGCTACAGACGGGCCATTTCAGCTTGCTTAATTTTTTTTATGCGACTTAGAATGGCAAACAAGCTGACGGCCTACCTGATGGAAAGTGGTAACCGTCGCCTATAGACATGAGCAGTACCATGGACATAACAGAGTATACTGTTTCGCCCATGATACACCCCTATGCGTTGCCATTCCTGAGGACTCAAGACTAAAGTGTAATTATGTTTCTTTTTTTTAGCAATTTTTATTATTATTATGCAATTAAGTTTAGCAAGATTTTTGAAAATACTTGCCTTGATAAGATTCCTTTCAGTGTGCGGTGGTTGCCACTCGTCAACCTTCGATAATATGAAGGCCAGTTCCGCCGGCACCTCCAACACTTGCAGACTCTCTGCTTTAGCCTTTTGTGCTTTTTGTTCGGCCGCACGACGTCTGGAAAATACAGGACAGTAAATGACGAGAAAAATTATGTAACGTTATGGTTTTGAAAAACAAAAATAGTAATGGAAATTTTACTTTCTAGAAATGTAGAAACGGGATAGAGTAGATAATGATAGGATAGATATGGTTAGGGTTTTATGACTTAAAATAATAGTCGGGTATATACGTGACAAGAACAGCACTTTTAAGTACGTTTTAGAGTTCATGGGGTAATTTTTTGGAAATTTTATTTTTGTTTTATTAATATTCTATTAATAATTTATTATTAATTAATAATGGACGTTTGTATGAACATGATAAGAGACCGATTGTATTCAAAGTAAATAGATATTTTTTTCAATACCTATGAAGTGGAAAACAAACATACAGTTTATCTGATGGTAATCGGTCACTACAGCCTATGGACGCTTGCAACACTACGGCGTTGCCGACCCTAAAAACCTTTGAAGGATCCCATACTGTCTAGTCTCTACAGATAACCTCGGCAGCGAGCTCATTCGGTTACCACTTTCCTTAGTGCTGTTTTTATCTGCAGAAACAGGAACAGCACTATGGACAGGTAATTCTTATGTACTACTTTTTGAAGTGAATAAAATAGAAGTGAGTGTAAGTACTAACTTGGCGGCGGCGACTTGCGCGTCGCGGCGGCGGCGGTGCTGGTCGCGCAGCGCGGCGAGGCGGCGGCGCGCGCGGCGGCCGCGCAGCAGCGCCTGCGCGCGCGTCACGCCGCGCCGCGCCACCAGGTAGCGCCGCCGCGCGTGCGCGCCGCGCCACCACGCCTGCACCTTCACCGCCGCCGACCGCATTTGGTGGTAGCGTTTCCTGACGTCAACACACACATTTATTCATTGACTTTATTCAAGAAAGAGGTTTTCAGTTAGGCTGTATTGTTTACGTTTATTACCTCATAACTCAGTCATCTAGTTTGATTTGATATATTTTTTTTTAAATTTATCTGAAAGGATACGAATAGTCCCATAGAAGTTTTATAAAAGTGGTTCGTAGTTTAGTTTCTAACTCATAATAACTGACTTTGTTACGATGTTTTTTGACACAAAACCTATTATTTCAAAATTCCAAGTGCATAGTAGTGCGTATATACTAAGAGCGGTTATAAACGGAGTCTAACAATATCCGCTCCAGGCAAAAAAGTAAATTAATTCCTCTATTTGGATATATACTCTACATAGTTGAAATCTTAGATTATAGAGTATATTATAGTAGGTTTATAGTTGAAATACTTAAATACAGATATGTACTTATAATTAAAAAAAAATCAACTAAAATATATACAAAAGTATGCGACCTTTTATAAAATTAAAAAACCCAAGATTTCGTTTCGGTATTACAGTTTACATACACGACAACAGACAATCAATTATAAATATACATTTATTGTACTTAAATAAAATTCTAATAGTACATTTAAACGCAGTTAACATTTATATCATAAACCACTAATGATATTTTAACACTACTTTTAACAAATTTCCTATTAGTTGATAAATACAATGAACGAAAAACGATATATATATATATATATATATATATATATATATATATATATATATATATATATATATATATATAGCTTATTTATATATTATTATATCATATAATAAGGTTAAATTATTTTGAAAAACCACATAACAAATGTTTGGGGGTACAATTTAGAAAACTCAAAAACTAATTAAGGAAATGTTAGTATTTTCAGTTAGCCCATCAGAGAATTAAATCTGGGACTTCTGTATGTTGGGCATATGGTTTCATATGCTGTATTACAGAAGTCGTTAAAATAAATTGTTGTTCATAATAAACGCCAATTTATATGATGATTTTTGATTATGTTAAATATATAATTTAAATATATGAGATTGCCCTAGCGATAAGACCGCCTTTTGTACCTTTATGTGTATATTTCAATCTGTATTTATGTTACTGTGTTTCACTTGAATTATTCACTTGTCATTGTATATTTTTATTTATGGTGCAATAAAGAGATAAATAAAATAATTTGCGTATTATTAATCATAACCCCAAATACTCAAAACTCATGCATTAAAAGTGTTATGTACAAATAGGAATTATTTATTTATACATTGGTCGTATCTATCCTACCAAAACTAATCTAACAGTAATAAGCGGGGGGAAAGGGATTGTTAGTAACGGAGACTAAGAATCCCATTGCTAGCAATATACCCAACCAGGTCGACCTCCTCGCGGCTTCCCCTAGAAACTATCATGGTTAATTCCTGACGAATTCATCATGATGGGCTAACTGGCCTGTTTTCATCCTCATCTATCACCCTTCACTGGTGTTCCGCCAGATTATCCCGTTAGCGCAGGCGGGGTTACCATACCATTTTCACTCATACAAAAAAAACAGTAATAAGTGATCATAAGGTTTAAAGCAAAGTTCATCACTCTGTACATCTAGAGGGCGCCATAGCGCCATATGACATATTATATGACAAAGAAAAATTAATATGCCATCTGCTTTTTTCCCATGAATGAGTATGAATGAATGAGTATACTTTATTTGCATTATACAATATAGGAAATAAGCAAAGCAATTCACAAACACAACGATACAATTGTATAAGTACAGTAAGGCGGTCTTATTGCTGAGAGCAATCTTTTCAAGACAACCTTAAGGTAATGGACTAATTGTTGTACAAGTAGGTATGATAGTGCTGTATAATTAAAAAAGCATCTTTTGCATCTCTCTTTTGCATCTTTGCATTCCCATCTCATATGTAGAGTGAAAATATAATCAAGTAAACATAATAATACAAAATGTGGATTTTGAATCAAAAGTTTCAATTACAATACATACTGTTATTATTATAATAATTATAGTTTATAGACAAATTGTTTTAAAAAAAAAAAGCACTACGCTCGCTTACCTCGCGAGGTACCCTCGTGCATGCGCTTGCAATATGGTTGCAGCTGCACGCAGCTTATCCGCTCTAGAACGTTCCAAGGCTCTATGCAACGCCTCCCTTATGAACACCCGCGCGGCACCCAGTTGGTAGTCCGCGCCGACTGTAATCATATTTACAAAAAAATATTATAGTAACTTTAAAAAATGTATTTTTTTTTGTCTGTCATGCCCTTTTTTCTCATTAAGATAAGCTCTCCCTTTTCATTTAAGAGTTTACTCTTATCGGTGCAACTAATCCATGCATCTTCTTTGCCAGTTATATCCTAGGCCATATCCTTGACCTCCCTATACGACATGACACCTAGTGTTTCTTTTATCTGTTCCATGTAGTTATTCCTCGGTTTTCCCCTTCCTCTTTTGCCTTCTATTTTTCCTTCTACTATGCTCTTAAAAAAATTGAGATTATCTCTATTATCGAGATAAGAAGATACCAAAATTGAAAGTTTGTAAAGAATATTTAGAGAGTTTAAAATTTATTTAAAGTGTGTTATAAAAACTCACTGTAACAACTAAATGGATTTGATTAACATTTATTACATGCAGATAAACTATTATTTCAGAATTTTATTTTCCTGGAAAATCCGTATTAAAATAGTTTTTTTTTTGTACAACTTAGAATGGCAAACAAGCTGACGGCCCACCTGATGGAAAGTGGTAACCGTCGCCTATAGACATGAGCAGTACCATGAACATAACAGAGTATACTGTTTTGCCCATGATACCCCCCATGCGTTGCCATTCCTGAGGACTCAGGTGTTATTCCTCTGTACCCAGTAAATTCACGCCATATCCCACCCTTCAAACCGAAACACTGCCATGCAAACACAACTGCTTCACGGTTGAAACACGAATGGGACAGAGGTCCCAATGGGACCAAGCAATCGATTTTTATACAAAGTCTCCCTCTGGTAATGTAGTTTTTTTTTATCAACTACAGTTAGGGTAATAATACTGCACTGTGATACTTTCCTTTTCTCATCACCTAGGTATATACTATTTTGAATTTTATTGGCCACTTCGAATAAGACTATCAACAATTAAGTTATTTAATTGTTAAGATATTTATTTTACTTGTATAGAGTAAATTGAAATTTTAAATTCAATTTTAAATTAAATTATAAATATCATCATCATCATCATCATCATCATATCAGCTGTTAACTGACCACTATTGAACATAGGTCACCCCATAAGGAGGGGTTTGCCAGTAGTTGGCACGTTTAACACGCGGATTGGCAACCGCAGTTAGGCTTTTAGAGATATTTTAAGTGGGATGCTGCTGCCCATACCTCTACTATAAAGTTCCCTTAATCGCTTCTTACAACACCCACGGTAAAGGAAGGAGTGGCCTATTCTAAATTAAAAACATATAAAAATAAAATTTTACAATAAACTGAATAAAAAAGTTTAACAAAATATATAAAAAGAAAAAATACAAATTACACACAACATCTTGTGAGGCGTTTTTTTACAGTTTTCCATTTCACCATTGTGGTTTTAAAACGATAACTCTCACATGCCCACTCAATCCTTTAACAAATTAACTACTAGTTTGAAACTAACAATTAGGGCAGTAACTGGACACTGCTAACTCACTGTAGTGAACTAAACTAATTGGTAAATTAAAGAATTTTTTTCCTATGTGATAAGTCTATCGTTATCGAGTATTGGATGAAATTAATTATTTTTTAATACCACTATGCATCCTACTAAAATTATTAATGTAAACATTAGTAAAGATATCTGAGTATTTGTTACTCAATATTATTTAAGAGGCTTTCTATGAAAATTTGGTAGACAAACAATATATCATATTATATTAATTAACTTTTTGCTAGTTATTTAACATGCAAATAAACCAAAGAAATAAATCACTTTTAGATGCCGTATTAAGATAAAATATACACCAGAACTTAAGTTACATCTTTATGAACATAACTGTGAAAACAGCATTCAATTTGGTGCAGTTGTTATTGCATGATGCCAGAACAAACATATAAACAGACAGACAAAACTTCTATGTTATGGTTTTGTCCTCCATAGGTCTTATTGAGACGCCTCATATATGTTTTTCTTAAATGTCTTTTATATATGTCACCCCAATTATGAATATAATTTTATTATATCAGAAAGATAATTATTCATGTAATCCCGGCATAAAATAGGCCATCCCTTACTTTCCTGTGGGTGTCGTAAGTGGCGACTAAGGTATTTTAATGATGGAGGAATAGGCAGCAGCGTCTCTTTTAAAACATCTCTAAAATCCTAATTGCGTTTGCCAACTGGCCTGCCAAGCGTGGCAACCATTGGCAAAACTTCCCTTATAGAGAAGATTTACATTCAGCAGTAGATAGTTAACGGTTGAAATGGTAAGGTCATTGTTATTAATTCTTTTCTCAACCATTTCACCTTTTTTGTAGAACAAAGTGTTACTATATGCTCTTGTAGCACTTAAGGTTCAAAAATGTCATTGTTTTATTGCGAACTAAAGTCAATCCTTTTTTATTAAAATTTATATTATAAAACATAAGGGAACGGCGTGTAATATGTTTGTATATGTAAAATATGGATATAAGGTATATCTGAACGGAATGGTGTGTGGACTGTATGTTAAGAATACATAGTCGTAGAATACTGACGGATATATATATATATTTGTTAGATCCGTCAGTATTCTACGACTGACAATATATATATTCGTTTATACATGATATACCATGAATAGCTGTACATTATTATACATATGAATGATGTACATTATTATACATATATGTATATTTTCTACAATTCTTAATTTGTAAAAACCTACCAGCTCCAGTAGGTGGCATCTCCGCTAGTATTGAATTGCAAATCTCGCGATAGGGAGTCGACCGTGGTGGAGTCGATTTTAGCAGGTACCTGTAACATAATATACAACTAGTCAATATTACATTAAAAAGTCACGATACAATAGCATATATTTTGCTTTCCTATTATATCGTGACGATATAATCGTACGATATCGTATAGTAGGTAAGTAGGATTAGATGCCTCAGTGCTGGCAATATTTATTTATTAATTAAACTATAATACACCTAGAAAATGTAAATGGCGGTTTCAACACCATATGGCGTCATCTACTAGTCGACCGTAGACAGGAATAACTGAAAATATAATTGACGGTGCAACGTAATTAATAATATTAAATTAAAACAGTAATTAAAAAATAACATATATAATACTATATATATATATATATATATATATATATATATATATATATATATATATATATATATATATATATATATAACTAGCTATATATACTATATCTGTACTAATATCACAGTATCAGAGTAAGGAGTCTATTAATTCTTTATTCTGTCCTAATATTATAGAGAGGAAATATTTTTTGTGTTCGTAATGGATATAGTCAAAAACTATTCTATCCTTTAGTAAGTCTACATCAGTGATTCTCAACCACTGTGCGGCGGCACTTTTGTATGCCGCCAAATTTTAAAAGTGTGCCGCCAAATTTTGCAAATATTTAAAATTTTTGTCATAAACTATTTATGCAGTGTGTTGTAGTAAGTAAATAATTTTTATCTTTTTCTTTGTGTGCCGTCAAATTTTGAAATCGTTAAATATGTGCCGCAACAAAAGAAAAAAGGTTGAGAATCACTGGTCTACATTATCAGCGAGTAATATAAACCATATTATTTCTGAAAATTGTATCTACCTCTGCGAAACCGGGCCAGATCACTAATAGAGTATATTTAGGTCGAACTACACGAGGTTAAAAACCATTGTTGTTAATTCTAAGGTAAGGGTACGGCTAAGTGATCTGACTTCAGTCTTGTTTATCCATCTTTTCCGCTATTTGGCTAATGTATACTCGACAGCGCAGACCAAGTTACCATTTTCAGAGATTAAAAATAGAGGGAAAGGATTGTTAATAGTGGGAACTAGCAGCCTCGATGTTAGTCGACCTCCACGCGGTTCCTTCTGGAAGCCATTGTGGTATACCTATCACTCCTCACTGGGGCCCGTCAGCGTATACTGGTAGTGCAACTGTGGTAACCAGTCCGTTTTAATCCTTTAAAAATCTCACCTGTATCTATCAACGAAGTTTTGGAAAGGTATTCTGATTGGGTAGCCGGTCTGCCTTATCTTGATCGTGTCCAGCATGCCAGTATATCGGAGCTGGGCGAGGACACACGGCATGTCGAACTTCATCGGCGATTTATCTGTATTCGGCTTGATGCAGCGAACGAACCACGGGTTGCATCTTGACATCGACTCCAGCAACTGGTGGAGGCTGTCCGAGAACCTAAGATAAAATAGAAATAATCTTATTTAATTTATGGGGTGAGACATAGCAGTGGAATGATACATAAAACTTTAGAAATAATAATGAACGAGCGTCATAGATATTTCACGATTTCCACGGTGCTGTTCATGTCTATAAGCAACTATCAGCATTCTCCATCATCATCACCATGTCAGCCTTTAACTGTCCACAGCTGAACATAAGCCACTTCCTTGGGAGGTTTCGCTAGTAGTTGTCACGCTTGGCAGACGGATTGGCAACCGCAGTTAGGCTTTGGAGATGTTTTAAGAGGGGCGGTGCTGTCCACCCCTCGCTCTCTCTCAGTCGCCTCTTACGACACCCATGGGAAAGGAATCATTCAGCGATGTTAATTCATTATAAAATAAATAAAAATACCTAATTTTTTGTACTGTATTCTACTTCGATTGTTGCCATTCTGAGAACGAAACACTTTTTTTTTTCCATCTTTCAGCTAAATATCAGTATTTTTTATTTAAATTAAATATGAACTATATTCGTGTATAAAAGTATTAGTTATGTGTATCTCGCGGCTTGGACCGCGTTAATAAATATATAAAGTACTCCATGTGCTAAGTTAGGACATAACCTAATTATGTGCAACATTTCATTTAAATTCGTTTAGTAGTTTTTGCGTGAAAGAGTAATAAACATCCCTCCATCTTTACAAATATTCACATTTTTTATATCCTATTAGAAATAATTATAAAAATAGATTTACTAACTACGTACCGTCAAATAATACACTTAAAAGGTACTGCACTTTTGCCTACCAAGGCTGGTTCAAAGCACTAGGTATTCACATTTCGAATACCAATGGCTAGTTTTAAAACAAAACTTAAGGACTTTTATTTGAGCAAGTTGTCATCTTCTTAATATGTTTATATGTCTGGTTAACATACTTATTTCTTGCATACTTTTCGTGAACAATATTTATATATTTTTATGTATTTGTGTAGGCATTTATATCCATGTATGTATATGTATATATGTATGTATGTGTGTAGGTGTATGTATATAAATATAATAATGAGTAGGGATAATATTTATTATATTATATGTATCACATCTCCCATATTTAGAACTAACAAAATTTTTCATCGTGCCTCCCACCAATTTGTTTATAATTACTCCTCTCCATCCAAAGGTTGCCTGGAAGAGATCGCTCTTAGTTATTTAGTTATTATAGCTCATAGTTATAAGGTCGCCCATTGTTTTCTCACTGTGATTATTTCTTGTAATTATTTATATTTATAATAAGTTTACTATTGTAATCTTTTGGAGGAAACAATAAAGAGTATCTATCTATCTATCTATCTACCATAAACGGGTATTATAAACGTTAATAAAAATGTCATTGACTCTATACTTTCTCGAGGTCTTGATTGATTTGTGTTCTCACTACCTTTAAAGAATTACAATGTTGTTAACAGATTCTAAAAACAATTCATATTATCTGCAGTTCTCCACAATGGCCATTAATGTTTTATGTTCGTTACAATTTTCACTTTTAAACACGCAATGGAATATCACTATGACAAGTCAATTACAATAACAGTTATTGAGACAGAGTGAAAGATGGCAGTGAAATTACAGAGTACAGAGGTGTATAACACCTTAGTTCTGTGGGGAAAGGGATTGTTAGCGATGGAGCTTAACAGCCCCAATGCTAGCAATGTTACTAATCAGGTCGACCACCACGTGGTTCCCCCTGGAAACCATCGTGGTTACTTCTCGTCGAATTCTTCACGATGGGCTAACTGACTTGCTTTCATCGTCATCTATCATCTATCACTGGTGCCCCGCCAGCGTAAACTGTTAGCGCAGGCAGGGTTACTATTGCATTATCACACATTAAAAAAAAACACCTTAGTTTTTGGAAAGGGATTGTTAGGGTCTAATTGACCCATTGCTAGCAATAAATCCTATCAAGTCGACCTCCACCTTCCCCTTGGAAACCGTCGTGGTTAATTCTAGTGAAACTCGTCACGATGGGCTAACTGACTTGTCTTTTTATCCTCATCTGTCATCACCTTCACAGGTACCCTACCAGCATACCCGATAGCGCAGGGGGGATTACCATTGTATTATAACCCATTAAAAACACCTTAGTTCTCAGGAATGGCAACGCATGAGGGATATCATGGGGATACGGTACACTCTGTTATGTCAATGGTACTACTCATGTCTATAGGCGACGGTTACCACTTTCTATCAGGTGACTATCGCCGTCCATGACTGTTTACCCCTTGTGTTGTAAAGATACTTCCACATTTCGTGTGAATGATCACAGACTTACATTTTTAGTTTATTAAATAAAAATAATAACTATATATATATATATATATATATATATATATATATATATATATATATATATATTATTATTTTTATTTAATAAACTAAAAATGTAAGTCTGAATGATCACAGACTTACATTTTTAGTTTATTAAATAAAAATAATAACTATATATATATATATATATATATATATATATATATATATATATATATATATATATATATATATATATATATACAATACAATATATATATCTCATACAAGAAAAGTTGTATTGTATTGTTGTTGTATATATAAATATATATATATATATATATATATATATATATATATATATATATATATCTCATACAAGAAAAGTTGAAGATTAGGAACCACAGAAACTATACCTGGCAGCAACAGTTGGAGTTCTAGGCTTCATTGTGACGAAACGTCCGTTGGCGCCTCTCGGGAGTGTTTTATTGGCGTCGTGTTGTGCTCGTAGTTGGGTCGACATCTCTGCCACCAGAGGGACCTCACTGCTGCACAGCAATTCCAGAACATCAGCTCGGAGGGCATCCCGGTTCTTGTCGAGGAATCCCTCCACATTATACCACACTTGACCAGCATAGTGTTTTATCTGAAACGTGAAAAACGACTCGATTGACTGCTTTGGTCATATAGGTGATGTACTACAAAGGGTAAAATTAAAAAGTATACATAATTCGCAAGTGCTGAGTGAGAGTGAGTGAGAGAGTGATGTTGAGAAGGCAAAACAGGTCTATTTAAGTTAAAGCACTTGGTGTTCCAATATATCTTTACTAAGATAAGACATAGTTCTCCTTTAGTTAACAATCTCACCAGAGGGAGACTTTGTACAAAAGTCGATTGCTTGGGTACCTCTGTCCTATTCGTGTTTCAACCGTGAAGCAGTTGTGCTTGCATAGCTGTGTTTCGGTTTGAAGGATGGAATATGGCGTGAAATTACTGGGTACAGAGGAATAACACCTGAGTCTTCAGGAATGGCAACGCATGGGGAGTATCATGGGCGAAACAGTATACTCTGTTATGTGCATGGTACTGCACATATCTATAGGCGACGGTTACCACTTTCCATCAGGTGGACCGTCAGCTTGTTTGCCATTCTAAGTTGTATAAAAAAAATTTCATTAAAACTTGAGCTACAAAAAATATGTTAAGGTCCACTTACCCCAAATTCACTAGCTCCTAACCTAGGTCTAGAATATAGCTCGTTCAACGCATGGTTGTAATGGCACTTTTCCAAAAATGACGCGTCGGACGCCCGCGGGAAATTACTTTCGTCATCTAACAGATGTAAGATTCCCACAGGCTTTTTACTCAGAAGTTGAATAACTGAAAAAATAATAAATAATAAAACAATAAAACATTGATGATTTTGTTATAACTGTCACAAATATGGGTTTTTAAAAAAATATATTCTCTTTACCTGGAGAGTTATCGTTCCATGTTAAATTAGACCACTCCAGTCTCTCCTTCTGGTATTCCTGTTGCTCCAGCTTGAATATGTGTTTATTAAAATAGTGCTGTAACGTTTCATTTGCATAGTTTATACACAGTTGTTCGAACGAATTCTCTTCTAAGTCTTCAAAGCCGAAGATGTCTAGGAGAGATATACGGTGAGCGTCGTGTAAGCCAGCACGGTGGACGATCGAATTTATTCGGAGCACTAACCAATTGAATAGTGAAGAGTAAAGAGCTTTAGCAAAAGCATCCCTGGCATCCAGAGCTTGATCAATAGGCAACGGTGACCTCATGCGTTCAGCTCTTGCAGCGGTCACTCTAGTTGTCAAGGCTCTTGCCAATGCTTCTGCTGGGACCTTCAATAAATGTGCTGCCCAGCGAACTTCAGCGCCTCCACCCAATTGCACGCCTTCCTGTCCATGTCGCAACTGCCTTCGATGAAAGTAAACATTGCCTAAATGTAAAACTGCTGCTAAAACTCTTATAATATCTTCTCTTTCCGCATCCCCTATTCCGAGGACTTGCATAGCGCCGCACAATGCGGACCAGTCGGCTCCTGCACCCGCACCGCCTGAATCTCCTCCTTGATTCAAATAAAAATAATGCTCAGCCGTCAGTAGACCTCTAGTTCTTCTTTGTTCTTCGTCTAATCCAGCGAGTAATTCGTAAAATACATGATAGTTTCTTTCTCCCGGCGACTGTGTAACTATCCTAGATTTTTCGAGGAGATAATGAGCAACTCTCGCGCCCGCTAGCGCACCGTCCTTGAAGTAGAGTTCAAGTAACTTCCCAAAACGACTAGAATTGTGATTTTTTGGTGTTCTGGCATTGCCAAAGGCTTCTAACAGCGGTGCTGCTTCTAAGATCTGTTCCGAGACTGGCGCTCGACCTGGCGGTGCGGGAGCGACGGCAGCGAGGAACTGGACGGCGAGTTTAGTAGATTCCGTTTTTCCTGCACCCGATTCACCAGAGATTAGTATGGCCTGAGGCTGAGGTAGAGAGGCTCGCGCAGCAGCTGCTATGGCGAAAAGGTGTGGTGGAAGATCACCCAGGGCCTCAGCTGCGTGATACCTGAAATGTACATGAAGTATAAATAAAAATTCAATAAAAATATCAAACAAATTTAAATTCTTTTCAATACTAGTACTTTTTTATTCTTTGTTTTATTTTTATTAGATTAAACTTTTTATAAATGGTAGAGTATTGAACAGTTTGTAAAAAACTTTACAGTTAATTGAATTACTACTTTTTGTTTATATTAGTAACCAACTACATTCACCGGTCACTCCAAACAAACGCTGTTCAACGGTGATTTTATAAAATACTAAAATCCATTGGAAAAATTACACAAATGAAACTATATCAAATTCCAAATGTACTGTGAATTTGCATAATTATGATTGTAAACAGTAAATGAATATGAAACGAGGGTACATATGTACTTATAACGGTATGCAATACCCGAGTTGCATAATAAACCCATTTTAATATTTTACTGCATTTTTGACAATTTTATTGCGGTCGGAAACAGGTCAAGACGTCAGTGAATTCCTAATGATTAGGGACTACGAAGCCACAAGAACATAAAATAACTTTGGTGGGAAAATAAGGAAAAATATATATAATAAAATCATAGCTGGTCGCTGTCTGTACAAAAAAGATATATAAGAAGACTTATTATAGAGAGGCTTTATGAACACAATAGAACCTAAAATAATGACTTTTAGATTTTTGTCTGTTTGTCTGTACGTTTGTGCACGCTAATCTCAAAAACGACTTAACCGATTTGAATGCGGTTTTCACTAATGCGTTGCGGTTTGCTCCACTTAACATTTAGTGTTTGTTTTATTTTAATCAGATTATAAATAAAAAAGTTATATCAATCTAAAGAATCACATATAAAATACTATAAAATAACCGATCAGTTGAATTGGCTTAAACTTTTTATTATATGTATTGATTTTCGAAAATTCTGTCTACTCGTGCGAAGCCGGGTTGGATCGCTAGTAAAAGAATATTTATATATAAAAAAAATATGGTGTCTGACGTACCATTTACATTCTTTACTATAATTGTAAATTACAAAGATGAAACTAATAAATATTGTAAGCAAAGGTAAGCGTAGGCTTATCACTATAAGAGATCTCTTCCAGTCGATTAGTTTTTATTGTAAGACTAGCTGACCCCGTAAACATTGTTTTATCACTTATTGCGAAATATAAAAATCGTGATTAAAAAACAGGGGTTGATCGTAAAACGATGAAAATTTAAAGTTGTATGTATTTTTCAATGCTAAATTATAATAAAACTAGCAGACCCGGCAGACTTCGTACTGCCTCAATTGATAAATAAAAGATCTAAACTTTCGTATATATAAAAAATTAAAACAAACAAAAGGAATTCATAATTAATAAAATAAATCTACATAAAAACAATCTGAATGATAGTTAACAACTTTCATATTTATTCACCTTTTAAACCTTCCCTGGACTTCCACAAATAATTCAAGACCAAAATTAGCCAAATCGGTCTAGCCGTTCTCGAGTTTTAGCGAGACTAACGAACAGCAATTGATTTTTATATATATAGATAAAAATAAAAAAAAAATTGTCAAAAAAAATATTTAGGGGTGGGTATTTTCATACCCGTCAATGATAAGGGCGACCCCTTATCATTGACGGGTATGAAAAATAGATGTTGGCTGATTCTCAGACCTACCCAATATGAACACAAAATTTCATAAATATCGGTAAAGCCGTTTCGGAGGAGTTTGGTAACAAACACCGCGACACGAGAATTTTATATATTAGATAAAAAATTTAATTACCCTTGTGAAGAAATAACACATTAAATAAAAAAAAAAAATAAATAAATTACCTCCGTGCAGTCTGCAGTCCATACAGAGAATCAACCGGTCGGTAAGGGTTGACAGCCACCAAAATGGAGCCAGCGTATGTGTATATTATTCCTTGTTCGTATCTGAGCTTCAGGTTCCACAGCAGGGCTGCTTCGTGCAGGTCGTGGAGGCGGGTCATGTCGTCCACCCCGGTGGGGCCGAGCTCCTCGCGCGGCCACACTGGATCTCCCTCATCTTCGCCATTGCCCATTTGTAGGGCAAAGGTTTGAGGCTGAAGAGGACAAAACATTTTTACTTTAGTATAAAAAGTAGGTAAGTGGAAAGTGGTAACCGTCACCTGTTGGGGGAAAGGCATTGTAGTAATGGGGTCCAATTTTCCCATTACTAGCAATACATTCTATTAGGTCGACCTCCACGCGGTTTGCCCTGGAAACTATCATGGTTAATTCTAGTAGAATTGGTCTTGATGGGTTAACTTATCTGCTTTCATCATCATCTATCATCCCTCACTTGTGCCCCTCCAGTGTATACCGATAGCGTAGGCGAGGTTACCATTCCATTATTAACCATTGAAAAAAAAACCGTCACCTGTGGACATCATACAATATACTGTGATATCCATCCTACCTTCATAGGTTGCTATTCCTGAGGACTATTGTGTTACAACCGCCGTACCTTATAATTTCACTGATATATCCCATTTCTCAAAACGAAACAACTATACAAGCAAAGTTAATAACAAATCCTTTCCCTATGTTTATTCAGACACTAAAATAGCACATAGGCAGGATTTCATATAGTTTTTTAATATATAAATACAAGAACCCGATGATTAAATTAATCGTCAAAGAAATTTGTTATCTCATTTGCTTTCTTAACAAGAAAAAAGAAATAGAATGACATTTTACCAGAGGGAGACTTTGTACAAAAGTCGATTACTTGGGTACCTCTGTCCCATTCGTGTTTCAACCGTGAAGTAGTTGTGTTTGCATGGCTGTGTTTCAGTTTGAAGGGTGGGATATGGCGTGATTTACTGGATACAGAGGAATAACACTTGAGTTTATTGGGTATAGAACAATAACACCTGAGTCCTCAGGAATGGCAACGCATGGGGGGTATCGTGGGTGAAACAGTATACTCTGTTATGTCCATGGTACTGCTCATGTCTATAGGCGACGTTTACCACTTTCTATCAGGTGGGCCGTTAGCTTCTTTGCCATTCTAAGTTGTATAAAAAAAAAGACATCTCTTTTGATAAATAGTATTTAAATTTCGAAACAGTCTATTCTGTTCGAAATTTAAATGATGTATTTTCGATGTTGCCATTATTACGGTGTACTTTACGGTGTATTTCTTTTAGTGTGGGTCCTTAGTGGGTACTAAGGACCCACACTAAAAGAAACACAACGTGGTTAATTCAGGCACCGGTAATATAATCAAGCCGCTGACACATCCAGCTAACGTCTAATTGTCTTCGGTGATTACTATGCAAACGACGTATTCGTATTATCGCATGCATACCATAATGAGGGTCATATAACAGTATCTAATCAACACATAGCACAATAGCTGGCTACTCGAGCACAACTGCATCGTGCGTGCGTGCCTTTACGCAAATTGCAAAGAACCTTTCACCACGACATAAAAGCATACTTTATGGTCCAATATCATTAAACGCGATGACCGATCCATTGCGTACTCCCTATACGGAATAATATTCATACGTCAATTAAACGTGCAGTGAATTGAAGCAATGCGAGTGGTGTTGACAGCGAAAGGTTTCTCACTGCGGGTCACAAAGATGGCCTGATACCAATTGCAGGCAGTCATTATGTTATGTCATAGTCACGGTTGCTCGTCAGGGTATTATAATTTTCCGTCTGGTTGCAGTTTTATGCCATTTCGTTATACCTTTGAGAAGTAAGTCATTCAGACTGTGGGTAATGCTCAGTTGCTGTAATTGCGCAATATTAGCGAATTAAACAGCGCTAACAATAGCAAATTTAGTTATATTACACTAAAATTACGGGTTACTATTATAATTAAGTTAAAATTTCGCTTACTTAATAGTTACGCATAATTTTTACGGCATAAATTAAAAACACAATGCACGGGAAATATTGTGAAGAAAATACAATATATATGGGAGCAGGAAATAACTGTAATAACTATATTTGTTGGACAGAATTTTTAAAGAAGCGAGTACTTGTTATTCCATCATCCTTAATTCAGATACACAGTAATATAGCCAAATACAGTTTGCTGGCAGTATGTAACAAATAAGCTACACAAAACTTTAAATTTTAGAATGATTTATCGGACATAACCTAAAAAGTTTACCTAAATGTTTTACGCAAATCAATATTTATTATTATTATTTATATTTTTACAAAAATTCACATCTCCCCTCTTAACGAGAGGAGATGGCAAACTAACCCTCGGCAGAAGCACAGTCGGTCGGGGTTCAGGGCCCCAGGGAGAGAAACCGGCGTACAATGCGGGCAGTATCTAAGAGCACAGCTTTATGCATCTTTCCCGGGAGTGAGCCGCCTTATTTTTATTATTATTATAAATTTCTAGAAAATTCACATCTCCCCTCTTAAGAAGAGGAGATGGCAAACTAACCCCCGGCAGAAGCACAGTCGGCCGGGGTTCAGGGCCCCAGGGAGAGAAACCGGCGTACAATGCGGGCAGAATCTAAGAGCACCGCTTTCTGCATCTTTCCCGAGAGAAAAGAAAACGGGACATGCCGGATTCCGTATAAACAAAAAAGTAAATAAGACTGAATAAAAGAGAAATGATACAACTGTGCAACAACAATTGGCCAATCTGTGAACTTACTCGGATCTTTTACAACGCAGGTCAATATTGAACACTAGTGGTTCTAAATTAATAAGATGTAATTTACTGATTAACTTAATAACTAAGCATTCAATAACATAATATTGAATCCACGTGTAATACATTACATTGTTTACTAGGAAATCCAAACATATATCCTTCAGAGAAGGTATCGTAAGTGGTCTTCTGTTCCTATTCGGTCTTGAAGATTTTGTAGAATTTGACATCTTGTGCAATCTATTCAAAGCAGGTACAACACGTTTGTTTCTCTGTCGATATGACAGATCAATACTGTATGATATGGAATCGTCAGAAGCGCAGGACAAATTGCAGGAACTAGATTTACAAGAGTCCGGTGAACTGCGTGGGGTTGGCGCGAAGCGGACGCGCATTACAAGAGTGAATACTCTTTTATTTGTCTCTCATGTATGTGATATATATCATTTAAAATATAATGATATTTTAGATATGTTATAGGTAGAAAGTCAATACTTTATTTTTCAATATAATAATATCTTTTTATAAATAAAAAAAATAAGTTTGTGTATTCTTCTTCTATGCTTTTGCGCATTGTTTGTCCGATTGTGTAGAATTGAAACAGATTTCTTGTTAATACTTGTCTTAACGTTTTTGAAAAATATCAACACATACATAAGAATTACAATTCATGTTTCAAACACGATAAAACTTAAGTAAATTCACATAACATGATATCTTTAAATTGTATAAAACAAACTCGCTGTCCGCGCCTTTTTCTTCGCTTACTTCTTATAAAAACCATGTAATTAGTTTTCATATGGATTTCACTATAATTTAAATATTTTTACGGAAAATATGCACACTGCATCCTAATTAACATCCGTGCAAAGTCAGAGTGAGACACTAGTATATTTAACAATTTCCCCTATATCACTTTCTGCGCATCATTAACGCATTCTTATAAAAACAAAAAATTGTGTATAGAAAAAAAGTTGGTTACGACAATATTGCGAACTGCAGTGAAACGCAGGTCCCGGCCAACTGATTACTTCACATACCTGCATCCGCGGGCTAGTTTAAACTTGATAGACAAGAACTGTTATAGAATGAGGATAACGGACGGACCACATGGTAGACTCCGAGTGGATTGTAAGTTGTACGAACGGGATTTGAGAATAAGATGCACTAAGTTTCAAGTTGCAACATAGCAACACAAATATTTCTCTGTTTAGCGTAACGGCTGACTGGTAGAACATGCCATTATTAAAATGTCTACAGGGCGGACTATATGCGTCCTGTAGACATTTTAATGTGTGCAAAAGTATAAATAAATAAATATTTACAATTAATGATACTAGTAATAATTAAATTGTATTTTACAAAAAAAAACCAACTTCAACTGTGGCTAAACAAGTTATTTTGGTTTAAAAACTAAGTTTTTTTTTATACAACTTAGAATGGCAGACAAGCTAACGGCTTACCTGATGGAAAGTGGAAACCGTCACCAATAGATATGAGCAGTACCATGGACCACGGGAAAGGAAGGGGTGGCCGGTTCTATGTTGGGACAATACGGCACGTTTCAGTACTTATTTATTTGTAATTATTATTTATTTATTATTACAATTATATTTAATTTGAATAAATAAATATCTATAATATAATGATCACTAAAAATAGTATAAAAACCCAAGTTTTTTTAACTTTTAAATAAAATATTTATATATCATGAAGCTAGTTATTGCCAACATAAATTTGTATATTAAGTATCCTATGAGTTAGATTAGGGTACAACCTATCCGTGTACCAAATTTCACTAAAATCTGTTCAGCCGTTTAAGAGTAACAAACCAAATATTTACATACTTTCACATTTATAATGCTAACAAGATACGTAGAATTATTATTCAATTTTTTTTTTATTTACATTCATTATTCGTAAATATACCATCATTAATTAAAATAACCGGTTATTTAAAACAGTTGTAAAAAACGCGCGCCCCAAATCGTAGGCATGCTCCAATGAACACTCGTTTCTCTGGTTTAACACAGTATTATCAACGCTCATTTAAAATAGATTAGTCTGATCGCACGTGTAGTTGATAAATTGATGCTATTTATTATTTTGGCTTGGTTAACTCAGCTGCTATGACGAAAGCATAACGTCAGGTATTATGGCTGAGTGTAGGTAACCCAGGCGTATTGGGGAAAAGGGATTATTAGTAATGAGGTCTAACTGACCCATTTACCATCGATACATTCCCTCAACATATCGAAAATATAATAAACAACAATTCTCACATTCCAATCATAAGTAAAAAGCATGTAAATGTATATGTATATGTAGCATAAAAAAAAGTACTTTTAAAATGTACAAATGAAGTCCTTTTGAGTATTGGTTTTGGACTCTCTAGTAAAGAAAATAAAAATATTTTTCCAATTATTTCCATTGAAATACATAGCCAATGATATGTAATACTATTTTAAATTTAAAATCGATAGCATTAATAGTTGTTTAGATACAACGCTGTGACAGACAGACGGACAGACGAAGCAGCACCATAAGGGTTCCTTTATACTTTTTTTTAGTACGGAATCCTAAAAATGCAAATTCCAAATTGGAAATTCCGAATGGATTATTTCGTAGCGGATACCAGGCGAACATAAAACATGAGAAGTGTTATGAACTCTCAGCTCACATTCCTAGAGACGGCCTTGTAATCAACCTTACTTAGCCGACCGAAACCTTTCCTCGCCGATGACGACTCGAACAATGAACGTTTAGCGTTTGGATTCGCAAGTTTGCTTTTTACCAATAGGTTATTGTTTGTACAGACAAATTAAAGAATAGTATACGATTCGATACAGGCAATAATTAATAAGATTTGGAAGACCATTGTGTGGAAATATTTCTTTTAGGAGATTTATTGTTTTTATTTTAGATTAACTGCTTTGTATTAGGATGAAAAATACTTATTCTGCTTGTTTATGATAATTAGACTATGGAATTAGACAGTTATGTTGCGTTGCATGTTGCAAGCATGATAAGCTTTGTGATAAGAAAACAGACAACGACTATCTGAGGAAATTACAATAGATCAAGTGGATCGAGTAATCAAGTGATTTTATTATACAATCGATTCGGTTTAGTCCCATTATGGTCCTTGATTAATGTCCTTAAGTAATTTAGGATTTTATTATTATTATATAAACCATTAAGTGTCCACTGCTGAATATGGGGCTTTCCCATAAGGAGAGTTTTACCAGTAGTTGCCACACTTGGCAGGCGGGTTGGCAAGATTTTTGTGATGTTTTAAGAAGAACGCTGCTCCTGCCCATCTCTCGACTAACTCTCTTTTAGTTGTCTTACGACACAAACGGGAAATGAGGTGGCGCATTTTATGCTGGGATTACACGGATATATATATATATATATATTAAATGCATGTCTAATGTATGTATATTTTATGCAACAAAACTAATTAATTCCTCTTTGCCATAAAAAGGCATTTGAAATGCAAACATCAATAAAAATGGTGGAGACAGTGGAGCCTCGACCTTGCGTGTTGGACGGTTGGTACAGAGACATTGACCACGCGTCAAGTCGTGAGATTAAAATTCGCGGCCTCGTCTCGTACAATCGAACATGCAGTTGTTTGTTAACTCGATTGTACAATTTGTACACTTCGAGTTTTGTTTCTGGACCTATTAATTTATTTATTTAAAGGAACACCAACAGCATATTGCATTATAACACATATAACAAACATTAAATATAATACAATATTAATGCACATGCTTTTTAAAGGTATTCACAGCATTTATTTTGATATATAACTTATTTTCCTTAATGTTTTATTCTGTTAATTTTCTTAATTATACAATACCTACTTGTACAACAATTAGTCCATCGCCCTAAGGTTGTCTTGAAAAGATTGCTCTCAGCAATAAGACCGCCTTATTGTACTTATACAATTGTGGCGTTATATTTATTAATTGTCTTGCTTATTTCCTATATTATATAATGCAAATAAAGTATACTCATTCATTCATAACTATTTATTTGGAATGTAAGATTGAAAGTATTTTTTTTTAAACCTAACCTTTTACTTTGAAAAGGGATTATTAGTAATGGGGATTGGCAATCCCATTGCTACGAGTAGGAATAAATCCTATCGGGGCAACCTTTTCGCGGTTCCTTATCGGCGGAAACCATTGAGTATGATTTATTTTTGAATTTGTCACGATGGGCTGACCAATTGAGCTGTTTCATCCTTATCTATCATCCTTCATTGGTGCCCCGCCAGTGTATACCGATAGCGCAGGCGGGATTACCGTTCTTCAAAAAAGGTATATTAAGGTTTCTTCAGAGCCGGCAACGCGCACGTGACACCCCTAGTGTTACAGACGTCTATAGGCTACAGTAATCATAAGTTAAGCTGTATGCTTGTTCGTCACATCTTGGTATAATAAAAAAAAATCTAATAATAATCACGTAATAATTGTGTAAATTCAACGATTCATTTTATAACAATTCAAGTTATAACAATAATATAACAACAGTGACCAATATAATCTATGCTATGTACACACTTATCTATCTATGCAATGAAAAATCACGTTTTAATATGCATTTTTGTTGATCAGATACGAATAGGTATACGTAACTAACAATTTATCTAGGACTTTACAAACATTATTATTGTCCTAGTTTATGATACCCGTGCCATGTGATCCGGACATAGAATAGGCTACCCCTTCCTTTCCCGTTAGTATCATAAGAGGCGACTAAGGGAATTTAATGCTCTGTACCCAGTAAATTTACGCCATATCCCACCCTTCAAACCGAAACACAGCCATGCAAACACAACTGCTTCACGGTTGAAACACGAATGGGACAGAGGTACCCAAGCAATTGACTTTTGTACAAAATCTCCTTCTGGTAAATCTACTACATACCTATAAAAAGTAAAGGAATTCAAAGATGTTCTCTATGTCTACCCCGCAAGTGACTTGGCGTGAAGATAGATATATACCTGGCCATTGACGATCGCGCTGACGAGGAGCACTCTAGCGGCGCGGTGTACCTCCAGCAGCGAGCCGGGCAGTGGTGCGGTGGCGCCGGTCGGCTGGAACCACACCGCCGCGCCTTCAGACCACTCCGCGAGCCCCCCGGAGCCCGCCATTCTAGAAAGAAAAAGAATTCTTTAAACATCTCCCGCCATTGTGGAAGTAAAATTAACATATTTTTTTATACAACATATTTTAGGATATTTCTTTTTTTGCAATTTTATATTCGCATTTATATAAAGTGACATTCTTGAAGAAATGTTTGGAGAAAAGTGAAATAATCGTATATATATATATATATATATATATATATATATATATATATATATGAGTAGGTGGCCAATTGTGAATCTAAAAGCGAAAACCTTGGGTAATATGGATAAAAAATTTTACGCCGACCCCAAAATTTATATTTTGATAAGTCGATATCCACGAAATTTCCCCCGTAGAAATAATATATTTTCTATCACTTCGTTACTACTTTTTTTATATTTGTAAAATCAACAATTGGTTTGCTTAAACGATAAATTAAAATTTTGTTAAAAAAATAGGCTCAAAATGGGACGGCTTAATAGCATACACACAAAATAAATTCTATCTAATTGTCTCAATAAAAAAACAAAGGAAAACTATTAAAAATAAAACACATAAGAGTATAAATCACTTATTTATTTAATTAAATAAATTCATATTTTACATTAATATGTTATGACAACAAAGTAAAAAAAATACACTTATTTATGTGATTCAGTATTCAAAATATTTATCTAAATATATTATTACTACAAATAAATTGGGGCTGGCAGAGCTGACGGTGGTAATGGGGACGAGCCACAGCAAATAGGTGGTGGTGGGGGCGGCTGCAAACACATCGGTGGTGGAGGCGGTGGTTGAACGCAGAACGGAGGCAATGGTGGAGGCTGGACCATAACAGGTCCGTGTGGAGGCAGCTCGACGTAAATAGGTTCCGGTAGCGGCGGCTGGACAGTTAAAGGCGGCAGTGGTGGCAGGGGAATAGTCATTGGCGGAGGAGCTGGGGGTTGGACGCTGATTGGCGGTGGTGGAGGCGGCTGGACGCAAAGTGGCGGCAAAGGCGGCGGCTGCAGCATCATTGGCGGTGGTGGTGGCAGCTCTACAGGTATTGGGGGCAGGGGTGGTGGCTGCACCATTATCTGGCCTAATGGCGGCGGTTGGACAACGATCGGTGGCGGCGGCGGCAGCTCTATCACAACTGGGGGTGGCATAGGAATATCTATGAGCATGGGCGGGAGCAGTGGAGGATTTACGTACATGGGAGGTGGGGTTGGAGGGGTGACCATTATGGGTGGTTGGGGAGGAGGAGTTACGCAAATTGGCGGGGACGTAGGGGGGTTGACCGTCACAGGAGGTGGCGGAGGCGGTGATACTAGCATAGGCGGCAACGGTGGTGGGGTGACTGTTATAGGTGGTAATGCTGGAATTTCGACAAGTAGTGGTGGAGCGGGTGGTGGAGTTACATAGATAGGAGCTGGCGGTGGTAGAGTAACATAAAGGGGTGGCATTGGAGGCATAGGAATAGGGATTGCTCCGGGACAACCAGGAGGTGGTGGCGGCGGTAGAGGTGCTGGTGGAAAGCCTGGTAGAGGCAGGGGAACCGGAGCAGGATGTGGTAGGGGCAGTGGTAATGGGGGATGAACTGGTAGAGGTATTGGTGCTGGGGGTAGAGGTGCTGGGTAGAACGGCGGCGCGGGTAGAGGGGCTGGATAGACAGGCGGTGGAGGCAGAGGTGCTGGATATAGAGGCGGTGGGGGCAGGTGTGCTGGATATAGAGGCGCTGGGGGTAGAGGCGCTGGGTATAAAGGTGCTGGGGGCAACAGTGCTGGTGCAGCCGGGACCACTGCAGGAAGTGGCGGCGGCAATACTAGCGGTGGAGCATAATATGGTGATTCAGCGCACGGGCAATAATTCGCCTTAGCTGTGTACTGAAACAATAATAATAGTATTTTTAATAAACAAAAAAGAACTGGTTGCCAAATCGACCCAAGGTTTCTTGTGTATACATCTTAGTCGATTGTGATCGTTTTTTTTAGTTCTTTTTTAATCGAGGACTATCCTCGATTTATATATTGTTATTGGATTTAATACATAGGCTACGAAAAATATAAAAAAATCAATACAAATAAAAAATAAATCAACTTACTTGACTTAGTGCTGCCAGAAGCAGCACAATTCTGGTGGTCGCCATTGGTGACCATAGACTGATTACTCGTTCCATGAAACCGTGCCCTTCGGCCTTTATATGCATATATTGCCCCAGGTTCAAGGTATCGCAACATTACAATATATGCAATAAATGATTTACCAATATTTTATCGTTGTTTATCTATATAATTGAAGCTATGCATATAATTAATAATCTAATGCAACCCGTAACACAGAAATATGTGTAGATTAAGCACGTTGGCTTATCGATGCACATAAAAAATTTCATACATGCAGTTTCTAACGTAACAAAATAGTATTATTGACACTTATTCACTGCTACGTATGAAGGTGGAAAGTAAAGATAATTACGCGAAAACACACGTGTGTATGGTGTGTTAACGAACAAACATCGGAAAGTGTGTTTTTTTCTGTATTTCGTAAAACACAAACAGGAAACAGTATGTCTATTATGAAGCTGGATACTACTTAATTGTGAGTACTCTTAAGTGTTTTATATAAAAATAACTTTTTGCCCGTAATTTTACACGCGTAGACTTCACAGGTAGGAAAACCAATATGATAGTCCACTACTAGATGGCGTTTATACTTTCAGGTATAAAACTGTCAAATTCACATCAAATTTGGTGCTGTAGTTTGCAAAACCTATAGAGGTTTATTCCGGTATCATGTCTGTACAAGCAGACAAAACTTTTAAAATTATTGTTTTGTCTTTTTTTGCTTTTATTTAGACCCTTCGTGTATTTTTTTTTATTTCTCCCTTGTATAGACATAGTCGTGTGGTCCAGCCATAGAATAGGCCACCCCTTCCTTTCCCTTGAGTATCGTAAAAGACGACTAAGGGACGACAAGGGCTGGGCAGCAGCGTCCTTCTTAAAAGATCTTTAAAGCCTGACGGCGGTTGCCAATCCGCCTGCCAAGCGTGGCAACTACTGGCATAACCCCTCTAGGGGAGGCTTATCTAGCAGTGGACGGTACACATGTATATATTAAAAAAGATTACGTAGCGACTTTGAAACTATTTTTAATTTTATAATTTAGGTACTAAAATAGGCAATACACACCTGTGAAAACCGATAATCACCTGCTGTGTTCATTCCTTCGTCACACGCGTTTCTTACATTCGGACCGTGAAATATATAATATGCATATTTCTAGCAAATTTTTGTTATGTTAGATTAATAAAACTCATAGATTTTAGACATTCATTTCTGTAAACAAAAATATATTTTTAAACTGTTCTTCAAAAATTACTATAATTTTCTCAAAGTTAACATTTCAATTATGGACCCTGTTGGGCACAGCAAGTAGGAGAGAGGAGGACAACACTTTTTTCACTTTAGAAATAGTCTAAGAATCTGTTACAGTATTATCCAGTCATTGAAATTGTATCACGATAGGTACGTATTTTTTTATTATTATTATTATTCATTATTTAAGTATTGGTGTGTATCTATTCATATCGTAATTGTTATCAGTATTATATAGTTATTTAATATATTCTGTAGTTTTTAATTATTTATATTCATATTGTAAAATTAATTAATAAATAGTTTAATAGTAAAATTTCAGCAATGTCAGTTTTAGCTATGTCTTAAATCATTATCAATTCATAATTAATTATTTATTTATAAATTACAAGATAAATTCTGTTTATCATTCAAGTATTCGTCAATAGTGTAGTAGCATTCAGTAATTAATAATGTTTTAAGACTTCTTGCAAAAATATTGTCATTTTCATAATTTTTTTTGTGTTTCTGGCAATCTGTTATATATTTTTATTGATGACACAAAGGGACCAACGGAATACATAGCCAGCAAAGTTGATGGGAGGCGCAGTCTATCTCTGTGTCTTAAATTATATATTGCGCTAAGTTATTTTAAGTGATTTTACTTAAAAATTATATTCAATAATGTTTTTCAAAAGCGACATAAAAAAGAAATTCGAAAATAACAATGAATATTGAAGATAAATAAAAACGTATCTACAATTATTATTTATGAGAATACGAATGGTATCAGTGATTAAGTCGTTACGATACCGTGACGATTTTCATTACGAGAATACAGACAACAATGTTTCAATGAGAGATTTCACTAAATATTGACGACAAATATATATATATATATATATATATATATATATATATATACAGGGTGTCCGGTAATGAATGGATAACCTTGAAACGTCTTATAGTTCAACTTATGGCCGTCCTAAAAAATACGAAATATATATATAATAGAATCTATATACTTACCATGTTTCTTATAAATAAATAAATAGAAGTAAAGTGTGGTACAGACATACAAGTGCCGTGTCGTTCCGTCCTTGTTTTGCTAGTAAATGCCACTATTGGCAGGCGGGTTGGCAACCGCAGTTTGGCTTTTGATGAGGTTTAAAGAGGATCGCTGCCCATCCCTCAATTATAAGCTTCCTTAGTCGTCTCTTATTACACCTACGGGAAAGGAAGGAGTGACCTATTCTATGGCGGGACCTACATGGCTATGTTTTTTGATGGGTGAAAATGGCATGGTAACCCCGCCTGCGCTAACGGGATACGCTGGCGGAGCACCAGTGAAGGGTGATAGATGAGAATGAAAACAGGCCAGTTAGCCCATCATGATGAATTTATAAGAAATTAACCATGATAGTTTCCAGGGAAAACCGCGAGGAGGTTGACCTGGTTGAGTATATTGCTAGTAATAGGATTCTCAGGCTCCATTATTAACAATCCCTTTCCCCCCACATGGCTATATTAGGGGTATGTTGACGCAAAATGTTGACAATTTTATGTTGTTACCTAACTAATATTCGGTTAGAACGATTATATAAAATAAATGCACCGCCAACGCATTTCTCGGTTTGCCGAATGGTTGACTGGTAGAGAACACCGTCCGGTGTTAAGTCCGCCAAATGTACATAGAATTTTACTGTACCTTAAAGTTTAAGTAAATAAATAAAAATAAAACTTTGAACATTTTTAAACTTACTTGCACAGGTTGCAAGTTATAAGTCTTAATAAACAAGCCCTATTAAAAGTCAATACTCGTAATGCATTTGTACTTGGTACCGTTTTGGGAAATCTTATTTTCACTTCCCTTTGATTAAATAAACAGAAGGAAGTAGTACATAATTTGTTTATACATAATTGCACTTAAACGAAGTAGGATAACGGTCTTACACAGTTTGATATGTAAACTGCCAATTAGAGGGGGAAAGGGATTGTTAGTAATGGAGACTGAGAATTCTATTGCTAGCAATATACCCAACCAGGTCGACCTCCTCGCGGTTCTCCATGGAAACTATCATGGTTAATTCTTGATGAATTCATCATGATGGGCTAACTGGCCTGTTTTCATTCGCATCTATCACCCTTCACTGGTGCCCCCCAGCGTATCCCGTTAGCGCAGGCGGGGTAACCATACCATTTTCACCCATCAAAAAAAAAACTGCCAATTAGAATAAATATTTACTGCCTATTGAATGTATTAGTTTATTGTTTAATCACTCTATAATAAAATAAACAATTTGATTGATAAAAATATATAACTATACAATTATTTCAATAGACGTACTAAAATGTAATCTTATTGGCAGAATGCCAACATTTTCAAACTGCACAATAAGTGACAAACAAATTAAAATTAATAATATAAGAGAGGTGCTTTCAATTATAATTAAAATATATGTACTAGCTTTTATCTGCGACTTCGTCTGTGTCACTAGAACATGTTTAGTGATTGAAATAAAAAATAGTTTATGTTATTCTCTATCCCATACAGTACCTGTATTTCAAATTCCTTAGTGATTGCTCAGCCGTTAAAATGCAAGAGTTGACAAGCAAACAAACTCACTTTCACATTTACAATACTGTACAGTAGAAAAAAGTAGAATTCTTTTCTATGATATTAGAAAGGATATAAAAGGTTTATCATCCATACATTAATTCATTATTGGTATTTGAATTTTACTATACAATATTCAGCGAAACTTCTTGATTTACCATAAGGAAAGTTCGCCTGGAATGGCAACCTATAAAACTCTCAAGATCTACCGTGATAACCATGGTGCTGTTCATGTCCATAATCTATGCTTATAACAATAATAAAATTAATAAAGAGTACCTATCCAGGCATAATTATATCCAATAATCCTGATGTAACTTGGACTTGATTGTTATTAAGAGAAATGCCTTCTATTTAACCTCGTATCACACCTCCCATATATAGATAAAATATATCTACATGATATCTAAAACCTTATACGGTGACAACATTAATTTCTAACTAGTTAGTGGAAATTTCTAAACCAGTTATTACGAAATTCTATGTCAAGTTCAAACGAGAAATAAAACATTCGATGTCATTTAAATTTGAAATTATATTAAAAAAAAAACGTTCGTCTCCATGATCAAACACACCTGTATCGACCTAAAAAAAGTTCATTGTATCCGGGAAACAATGGTCGCAGAGACACTTCCGTCTGCCAAAGACGTGGAACTGAACGCAACATGATGCATACCAATAATATATAACAGGCCAATTTTAAAAGTCCACCGCACTTTGACGGCTCGATGTGACACGCGACTATTTAATTCAGCAGGGTTATCTAGGACCATTGCGTATGCTGTCTCCGTAGTGACCTCGACGGGCAAGGCTTTCTCGATCGTTCACCACGTTCATAATAATTTTCCAAGAGTGGAGAGAAATTATATAAATACTTGTATTATTGAGGATATGTTTTTTAATAGTCATAACATTGCTTTCAGAAATAAAAGGAAGTTAGGGGATTTCATTGGGCAAGTTACTGTCCTACTTTTAGGTATTGTATTTTCTGGGATCGACTGCCGTGTTTTTCTTTTCCGCTGTCAGATAATTTTTATTATCAAATAGTAATTATTTTTCATAAAAAACAAATTCTATTAATTTTAAAGCAGCAAGTAGTATTTTAGCACATTAAAATAACTAGATTTGTCAGAATTGAAGTATTTTTTTTTTATTTTAAAGTAAATTTTGGGGAACACAATTATAAATTATCTATTTATTTATTTTGTATGCTATCAACTGTATCTATAACTGTGT